TACATGCAGATCATGGGATGACAAGAGATATAACTCCATAAAGAATTTTTTCACTTTTTTTTTTTTCTTTCTGTTCAGTTCCTCATCTGGCTGGCACTTCTTCCACATCAGAAGCATATAATTTATGGAAGTGTACCTGCCATTAAGTTTCCTCCTACAAGCCCTGTGGTGGGCAGACATGCTTCACATCACAACACTAATGCAAGCACAGAGCACTGTCCTCTATATGATGTGCCAAGCCACCTTTCTGGTCAACGGCAAACATGGTGCCAACAGAGGCGGTAACCGTTCATGTAGGCCAGGAGCTCTGGTCCAGCGAACCCCATCATCGCTTCTCTCGTGGCTTGTGCGTGGTGAAAACAAACCTTTAGGTTAGTCTGAAGAGGGAAAAAGCCCTCACTGTCACTGCAAAGCGCACAGCTGAGCAATTTAGCATCAGCTACAAGAGGATGAAGCAGCAAGTAGCTCTCAGCAATGTCCCTTTGACATCAGGAGGGTAAAGAGCATCATCAGAGGATCCAGAGTGTATTCAAACTCTTGAAGGCAATTGAACCTACAACTTCTGGTCTTAGTTTCTAGTCTTAAGCACAAGGTCATCCTATAGAAGAAATTAAACGATCATTACAAAATATGTGAGTGATCACCACCTCCCAACTCATGAGGCTCGCTCAAAAAAAAAAGCCAACAATCAATCTGTTGGGCACATTTTCATCTTTTCATTTATTCTTTCTGTAAGTTTTAAAGTCAAGTTTTATCGGGTTCTGATTTTGGAGTTCCTGAAGCCCAGGTACCCCAAGTACCCCATATCTCCCTGTCTTGTCACTTTTTTGTACACCCACATTTAACTCATAAAATCAGGACATAGCAGTATCAAATAAAATGGAGCTTGAAATAAAATCCTCATTTCCCCAGTGAAACTCTGAAAGACAAAACTTGTTCCTCCCAGCGAGGATGGGAAAAAAAAATCACTGCTGAAATAGAAGACAAAGAAGGTATAGCAAATAATCTCTCTGGCTCGGTAAAGTGCGCTTTGTATGCACACTCTTCTCTCTTCTGCTAATGAAGAAAGCCAGTGCTGCTGCTTTGCAAGAGCAGCAGCAAAGAGCCCTGCCTGACCCCATATTTATTTTTTATGTCCTATTATTTCACATATGATTCAGTGATGTCTTTCCCCTCCCCCCCAAGTGATGATCTATAAGGTGAATACTTCTTTGCCTCACTATTTTCAGAGGAGCTTTAGTGTGAGGCTGAAGTATTGGATTATGTCTCCAAGATAATAAAGGAAATTATTTAATGGTTTCTCTTACTGTAACAACTTCCAAGTAGAAACTCTGATCTTCTCCTGCAATACAAACTGCACCTGGCACACTGCTAGCCCTTAAATCAGAAAAGAAACCTGGCCTTGCAGAAGAAAAACCCTTCCAAGGAAAGGTATGATGAATGTCATGTCTGCAGCTACACAGGGAAGCTCACTTTCTCTTCAGCTCTTGCTCTTTTTATCTTTGTACACATTTCCATTCTTCTTGCATTTTGATATAAGAACAGACACCACCATCCTAATTTCCCTTCCAGCCGTAGCTACAAGAATAGCAATGAAACCAGCAGGTGCAACTAAGAATAGCTCTGGCAGGTCCCTTCTTCATTAGCCAGGATCACTCCATACATGAACAAACGCCTTTCACAAAAATAGCGTATTTCTAGACTTTTTTGTATAAAAAGATAGCAATTTTGTCTAAAGTATTCCTGTGGGGCACCACCTTTAGCTAACACTGAACCTCAGTACTGGCGAGGAAAGTATTTCCTGCTGCTAACAATATTAAAATATCACTGGTGCCAAGCACGTCACACAAGCTGGACACACTCTTCTTGCTTTGCTGACAAAGGAGAGGGAGGCTGGATCTTCTTTCTCATCAGTATTACACCAGGATAGTGTTACTCATTTGACTTCTAGCAATGAATGTGAAAGGAAGACCACGAGCATTGCTATAAAGCTGATTGCTCTGTTAGCACATTAAGCTATCCACAGTCAGTCCGGAAATTTGTAAAAGGTAAAAATACCTTATGTCATTGAATTTATATGTCACTTGCAATCTAACTTAATTACAAAGGTTATATTAACAATGTTATGGAAAAGTTTTATGGCACAGCCTTTTTTTAGGACTGACTTTGCAGCTGTATTAAGTTAGAGTTAATAAACATAGTGTGTGTTTTCATCTATTTCATCTAAATACAGTTATGCACAAACAAGCAGTGGCACAATTGGAAAGTTGTTTAATAAATGAGGAGTATCCTCACATTTGCTCAGTAAAGGCTAGGAAATGTTCCAAGAGGAGGAGAATACTGGAGGTGACTAGGCGTGTCTGTGATGGACTGCCTATCTCTTTAGCTGTAATTCTAATTCTATTTGATTTGTATTTGGCCCAGAGTGTTTCTCCTGCATCCTCCATGGAGATCCAGCAAGTGAGCAGAAACCTGCCAGAACTAGCAAAGTTTGCAGAGCAACACTGCATCAACTGCTGCGTTGCAAGGCTGCAACTTGGCTCCCGCTTCCCCTCTGAGGTGATGTATTCAGTCAGGGGACCTCATCCCTGCGGTACCTGCGATGCAAAGGCTCTTTTAAAAGCTTCTCCCCTTTGCCACGGGACAGCAGACCCAGCAAGCTCACTCTGTGGGACTCCTCCTTTTCCAGATCTGTCACCTTTTAGCCTGGGGCCTCTGCCTGTCAGTAAAGCAAGGCTCGGCTTCAGCTCATTTAGCAAAGATTTCAGACAACCGTGAGTTTCAGCCGTGAGAGAAAACAGTGCCTGCAAAGCCTGAGGAGCTGTCAGACCCACGGAGGAGCACGGCCAGGGGAGCCGCACCGCAGACATTTCATCAGACGAGACAGAAGCTAAAGGGAGAATAAATCATCTTTCCGTCTGTTTCTCAGTGTTTGCTGTCCAAAGGAGATGAGACAGTGACAAACTCTGAGTAATGTTAAGGTTAATCTGTATCCTCTAGAGTATTTTAATACATAAATTAAAATTGTTCTGTATTTGTTGGCTTTTGCTAATTCATGTTTAAATACATTGTAGGTGTTTATGTTCCCATGCTCCTTAATTCCTAAAAGTCTCTAGTGGTGTGGGCAGGCTGCAGTGGAGATATATGACATTTCAAACAAACAACTCGGATTATCATTTGATCGCCAATGATTTGCCAGGCAGATTAAAAGCACAGAAATGTTTTAACAAGAAAGTCCACTCCCTCCTTCCCAACGCTCATATGGTTTGCAGTCCCTAACGAAGACCGCTTTTCACAAACTATTTTTCTTAGCATCGCTATCAGATTCTGTGACTGTTTTTAAAGAAAACCAACACAAAAATACTTTGCTACTGCTCTTTACACGTACAGAAACCCGAGCCTTGAGAATATATTTGCATCTTGAAACTCTCCTAACTGATTTTCCTCAACAGTGAGACTGCCATTTTCTATTTGAGACAAGGCACGAAATCAAGTGTGATCGAGAACTGTCACTAGATGCCTACCTGTCACCAAGGCCTATGGCTGGAGGAGCACCCAAACACCTTAATACTATACGAACACACGGGAGCTATATGGAGAGTGCAGGGTTAAAATTCGCAATCATGGTACGCAAAGTGCAAAAGTTTAACCATTCCCACATCTCCATTCCCACTGAGCTCTGAGACCCATATGACACGTAATTAAGCAAAATTAACTCTATATGCTATACATCAGGAACACAAACTCAAACACTTGGATACATACAGCTCTATGTTTTCCCCCTCCAGCATTCCATCCTCTAAAATCATAAAAGCACAGCTGATCTCTTTCCCGAGCCAAATAAACAGATGAAGGCTTTTTTCCTTTTTTTTTTTTTTTTTTTAGAAAATATTCTGCTTATTTCCTGATATAAATCGTTGCATTGTGGAACCCTCTTGAACATGAATCTGTCCTTTCTGAGCAGAGGTCGAGCTTTCCAGCCGTGTCAGAAAGGGCCCCATTGTGGCGGTCCTGACACTCCAGAATTCCTTGCCACGAGCAAAAGGGACTCAAGGGGCAAGAAGAAAATCCGGCGACCTCACTTCAAACCCAAGCACTTCTTGCTGGCTGGAAGCAGTCTCTGCTTGCTGCTAAGAAGGGTAAGCCACTGTTGGGCAACCAGCTCCTTAAGCGAAAGGAGACAACACAAAAGAGAGAATTTTGCCTTCCTGCTACCTTTCTGTTGTCTTCACAGCGTGGTTGTAATGCTGGCACAGAACAAACAGCAGAGCTTTTTAACTTCTGGTGAGGCTGCAGTGATTTTCCCTGCATCACGTAACAACTGATGGCCCACTTTGGCTCACCAGGACCTAGCTAGAGGTCCTTAGTTATCTGACAGCTCCCTTGAACCCAACAAAGTAAAAGTCAACTCAAGTTCTCTCTGAGAAACTCCCAAGCACAACACTGGAAACTCTATTATATGTGCAGAAGAGCTCTCCCCTAGACCAGTAACCATAGCTCGCACAGAAAAGCCAAGGTTGAAAGGAGATGGACACTACCTCCCCTCCAGCAATGCTCCCTGCACCTGAATCCATGGATTTGTATCCTGAAGGGGAGCTGCAGGACAAGGAAAGCTGGTGTCCTCTCCTCTGCATTCAGAGAAGCCTTGAGATTAGCCCCGCACAGCATACCTTGACTTCTGCCACCAGTTCCGAGGTGCAGGGACTGCAAACCGCTCTGAGACAAATGCCATCCCCATGGACCACCTCAGACTCATGCAGACCCACAGTGGTTGGGGGCAGCTGTTACCATTTCTTTTTTTTTTTTTTTTCTTTTTTTTTATAAAGAGGTATGGAAGGATGAGAAATGGGTTCAAGGCATCCCACCCCTTCCATAAATGATTGGGGAATGTCACAAATTTCTGTCCCAAGATTCCTCAACAGTGAAGTTGATCACTTAGCTCTGGAGTGCAACTTCAGTATTTGGCTCAGGCTGAAGAAATGCAGAATTGCCCTCTTGAATTTTTCACAATTATATTTTTATGATTAAATTATCCTCCTGGAGGAAGACAGGGCTTTGGAATCACACATTCAGCATTTCACCAGGCTGTGAGATATGGGGCAGGGCGATCTGACAGCAAAGCCTGGTCTCTCCGGCACCAGGGAGAGACGGCTCAACCCAACCTGGAAGCTGCAGGACACTGGGGCAATGAGCTAATGCCATGTGATCCTCTACTGTGAGGCTTCAGCAGCCTTGAAAAAGACAACGTGAATGTTTATAGCAAGCTTTTTCCTGGAAAGAAGTATAAAAACAAGATCTTGCCTAAGAGTCACAACCTCATCTGTTTTTGTTTTACCCTGTTTATTCCTTCAGATGGCAAATTTCTCCACAGGACAGAAAAATGTATTTACCTTAGCAAGAACTCTGAGTGGAGGTGCTCTTCACCCCTTCGAACCTGACCTTGCTTGTCCCTTGTGGGGAGGCCAATTTATCTCTGTCTTACAATGACCAGGCATGTGTCACTTTATTATAGCCTTTATAGCATAAATGCTGAGTGATAAAAACAAGGTAATAAAAATTAATCATTTTCATGTGCAGCTTTTCCAGTTGTGCTCTTCACTTTTGCATTTTATTACACACATCTACACATAGACACAATATATGTTTAAAAGATGCATCTAATCATAGTTACAAATTAAGAATTGAGTGTCAGAATTGTAAATTTAAATGTACCTTATAAACTAGTTGGGCTAATGAGCTTGCATGTATATCATACGAATGTGATTAAGAGCTTAAGAACGCAGCACAGGCTTTGAATCTTTACTTCATTTTCTTTTGAGCCCTTCCTGATTTGAGGGTGGGCCCCTCAAATTCTAGTTTCCACAGGAGATTTGGGTCCAACCTCTGATTGACAACTACATGGTCCATCTGGATTTTTAAATTGCAGCCCAAATGATGATTAGAAGAAAAGGCAGAGTCCCTTTGCTGTCCCCTTCCAGGGACATGTTCCTTCTGCTGTTTCACACTGACTTGATCGAAGCTACATGCATGGTGCTGCCGCTGTCTCCTCCATCCCACGGTGGCAGTGCCCCCCCACAGATAACCTCCCCAAAAGGAGACATCACCCACTGCGCACCAAGTTGTGCCTGTTCACAGGAGGCAGGATACCACCACCTCCACCAAAGACCAACAGTGTCACCCCCAAAATTCTCATCCCAGAGAGTCCTTGGAAAACAAGAGAGAGAGGGAAGAGGAGAAAACTTGCAAGTTACACATTTCCAAGCCTCAACCCCAGGTTCAGACATAGCGTGTCCGAAAAGGCTTTTGCCACTGAATTACTGCACCGGGAAGAATAGTTGGAGCACAACAGTTTAAATCAAACTAAGAGAAGAGCTTCTGCATGCAACACAGTTGAATCATGGTACTCACTGGTGTTAGACGTTGTAATCACCAAAACTAGGCATGAATTCAAAAATCAATGAGATAAATTCATGAAGCAAGTATAAATGGTGGCTATTGTACTCCATGCTCTGGATGCTTTGACCCAAAAAGTCCCACAACTGCTGAATGCCAGAAGCAGAGAGGATACACAAGGGAAGCTCACTCTGTATTTGCTTTGTTTCTTGTATTGGCTGTAAGCCACTGTTGGAGACAGGAGGCCAGATGGGGCCCTGGTCTCACCTAATTATGGCCTTATAATATATTATCCTGTAAAAGATCAGACTGGATTAGGGTAAATTACACCCAAATCGTGCTGCATTACTCAGCACATTAAATTGTCCTTAATCACATACTTTGATGGTCTAGATTCCTGCTTAAATTTACCTCCTGCGCATATTTCTGTGCCTGTTCTGTTGAAACAACTGCTGAATTTCAACTATACATAACCAGGCTTTAATGAAAAGCCAATAAGGCTCTTTGATCAAGCTTTAATAGGACTCATCATGGGGACACACTCTGCTGTGGCAAAATGGTTTCCTCATCCTGTCTCTTTCAGAAATGTTTTGTGAGCCTTTAAAAGCAATTCAGCCCTGATTTATGTCAGCTAAGTGATTTCTGTTGCACATGTGAGTTACAAGAAAAGGGCTCTCATCTCAATTTGCTACACTGTTCAGGAAATCAGTTATAAATGCTGCAGTGCCTTCAGTGTCTCTGACTTGAATGCAGCGGAAACTGGCAATTTGAGTAAATACTTCATCATTCCCAATTCTTCCATATGCTGCATCCAGTACTTGACAAGACACAACCTATAGGATATGTTTTTTGGTAAAGGGTACTGAGCTTCCCCTGTCTAAGCTGTTTATCTAAGCTGTTTCCAGAAGATGTTCAAGGAAAGAAACATGCAATTCTTTAATAGAGAGCATATGAAACATGTTGATGACTATCTAATAAAATCGAGCATGCATTCAATGAGAGTGAGTCACCTCATCACAAGTTTAGAGATGAGGGATGTAGCAGTGGTGACTAAGCAAGCTCACGCAGTAAGCCAGGGGTGCAACAGCAACCCAAAAGTTTTGATGGCCTGACCTGACCTGCCAGCGCCATCCAGCCAACCCCAGGCACAGGTTAGAGAAGGTCTCTTCACAGCAGGGGCTGATGCCTGTAGAAGGACAGGAACCACTGCAAAGTGCCTATGGCCGGGAGGGGTATTGCCAGCCATCGTAAGTGCTACAACCACTGCTGCTGCTTTGCTTATGGTGTTGCTGAGCAAAGAAACACCCCAAAATTGATGAATCCCTGAAGTAAAGGATCTCAAAGAGCACATCAACTCTTCTTCAACTCTAGCAACATTTCCATTTGCTAGAGAAAATAATGAGGGTAACTACTAGGGAAATAAGGAACTATTTTCTGTGAAGTTTCTTTTATTGTCCAGTTTGAATCTCCCACACCAGTTTGTGGCCATTGCTCCTGTTTGCATTGTTTGCCACTACCAGCAAGAGTTTGACTCCACCATCTTTGTAACTGCCATTCAAGAAGCTGTAGGTTGCTTTAGATCACCCCTTTACTTCCCCTTTTCCAAACAAGTAACAGAAGCACAACAAAAATACCCAACTATTTTTTATCCCATTTTTTCTCACTCCTCATCTAGGGGCAGAGGGACCCGAGAAAGGAGCAGTGACCCACATGACAGCAGTCTGGGCCGCCTTCCTCCTGCTCTCCCCTCCTGCTTGCGGGAAAGCCCTCGGCACAAGCAATCCCTTCCGACTCACGTACCCTTGTCAACTGCGTCCCACCTGGGAGCACAGTTTCCCCGTGGCAAATCTGCAGCGGCTAGTGACACTGAGCCCTGGGGAGGTCCACAGGAATGGGACCCTGGAGGGAGCCCACCAGGAAGGCAAAGAAGAGCCTCCTGCCTGCCCTTCTCCTTTTGACTGCCCAAGCTGCAAGGATACCCACTCACAGCCTCCCCCCAAACGCTCTCCTTTGCCCTGTACCAGCCTCAAAATCACCCCACGACGAGCACCGGATCTCAGCGTTGCTGCTCGCGATTCCCTGCAGCCTATCCCAGCACATGGCACAAGCGTTGGCACCAGCCCACACGGCAGAGGCTTGCACAGGGGATTCCTAGGTTGCCACTGGCATTTTTGACATTTTAAAGGCTCTAAATTAGCAATGTAAGAAATGAGTTACAGGCATTCCCAGACATGGCCTGGGCCCTGCTAGATCTCCGAGTTCCCAATATAAAGGAGATCGTGCCAGACACTTGGTATTTTACAATTTTGCATTCCTTTCTGGTGCTGTTCTTATGGTGTCTAACACTTCTGCGTACTCATCTGGCTTTTTAGCAACATGCTGCTTGGCCCTCTCTGTCTTGCTGCTCCTGCTACACGTCCAAGGGCAGTAGGACCTGAAAGATTAAGACCGCAGTGTACATAGACAGCAGATGGCTATTGCATCTGTACTTACTTTGCACTGCTAAATACCCCATTGCCCTAGCTAGTTTTACATCCCCTTTTAGTGGTAGATCTCTCTCCCAACTTTCTAAAATCATCTGTTGTGCATATGGCCCTAAAAATGGTAAATATTTTTTCCAGGAGAGGAAAAAACTTACGATGCACGTGGGAAGACAAGATCAAGCCCACAGTATGAACTCCCACTTCTTCGTCTGGTGACTGTAGTCTTTCCTTTCCTCATTACGTTTCCTTCAGATAGAACAGCAAGATTAAAACACTGCCGCTTCCCAAGTCTGCCTCAGCAGCATGTCCTCAGTTAACTGTCTTGCAACATCCAATGTCTTTTCAGCATACTAAAAAGTAATGTTGTTCTCTATAAGACACCAATTTTATATACCTTGGAATTGTTTCCTGCCTGTTTCTACAAAGCGGCACATGGATATATCTTTCAAGTCATCGGGTTCTCTACTAGTCAGAGACATAAATCACTGTATGTAAGATCTACTGTGAGTTCATGAACTCTCGGAAATTTTTCTAATCATTGTCCTTTGAACCGAGCTTTTTCAGGAACTGTAAAACTCCAAAACATATCTAGTAAATAAATGCATCTAGTAAATCCAGTAGTTGCTGGATTGGCAACTACTAAAAGCAGACTTGTCTTCCCTGATTACCTACTAGCATCAGGCAGTCTTAAAATATCCTCTGTGATTTTTACAATAAAACATAAAAGAAAAAAGAAGTCTTGAGCTTGTCTTGCCCAATATAACTGTTGGGATTCATTATATGATTCCAAATTATCACTGACAGGCACCAATTAAGCAAGAAAAATAGAGACAACTTCCCAAAGATAAAACCTTTCAAACACTAGGGTTACTTTTCAAGGTAAGGACCATAACCCCTTTCAAATGCCCATCTCTGATAACAGCTCCCATTCTTCTCTGCTCCCCAAAAGATTAAAGAGCTAAATTACGTTGCATTTGTGAAGAAGTATCACAAAGTTTCCTGAGTACTCCATCCTTGGAAGTACCAGACCCACTGAACAAGGATTTATTGAGCACCCCATGCATGAATGGCGATGCTATTTTTCATACTGTGGGTATGAAATAATAATTTAAAAAAAGCCCTATACGTCAAGATGATGTAAGAGATTGTTTCAGTCTCAGTGCCCAGTTCATTTTGGGAAGGAAACAAAGAAAATAGCACAGCTATTTCAGACTGAACCAGTATAAGATTCCTGAGACTAGAGATGGACAGATATATCCTGTTTTATAGACCCATACTCAAAATTATCAAAACTTCTAGTAAATTTTGCTCGCTTGGTACTTGATCACACACTTACAGATTATAATACTGAACTTAAAACTCACTTTGCAGAGGCAGAAGATGTTTTTGCTAGTA